CTACCCTCGTGTGTCGTCGTCGTGTCTCTAGTGTAGTTAGTTATTAATAAAGTAGTAGTGTGTGTGTGTGTGTATATATATATATATATATATATATATATATATGCTTTGCATGTATTAACTAACTCTAGAATGTGCAGTTTCATCTCGTTTACATTGGTATTTGATATTTTACATGTTTATCAGTACAGATGAATTATTTACATTGTGAGCCTGTATAATGTGTCATGTCTTAGCTGTAGCTTAACAGTAAATAGTCTGATTTTATCATACATTGTATTCTTATTCTGACATATTAGTTGCACTTTATTCTAACAAACAGTTTATAAACATACTAGATTATGTGTATATCACTATTGAAGCCTCTTTTGTAAGTATAATTATATGTTTACAATTTATTTTTTATATAGAAAATGAAGCCTGTGTTGTTTAACAAACAGAATTTGTGTCAAATGTCAGTTAAAAAGATTAAAGCATTATCCAGTTTTGTTTGACAAATTAAGGGTGTTATTTAATGTAACATTGCAGCAACAGTGAAAAGAAGCTTTGTACACTAAAAGTCTTTCTATAATGATTGTAACACACAAGGTCAAAAGGCTAGCAAATTGTCACACTGTTTTAAAAAGGTTTTATAATCTAACAGCCTACAAGTAAATTAATTTGATTTCCTTCTGCATCTATAAAAATATACAGTTGTCATCTCTGTCACCCCAAATCACAAAGTAAGGTTTATGTACATGTGTATAATAAACATGTACGTGGATAGATACTAGTCAATTTAAACAAAATTATTAAAGGACTTGATTGTTAATAAAACAGGCACCAACATGTATACTAAAATGTAGATCCGTCATTTGATATCATGTATCAGCTCAACTATACAGTAGTAACCAACATTGTTTAAAATTAAATCCTGATTTGGCAACCTTATGTCTCTTAGTGAGAAAACACTACACATTGATTTATTATGATATAATCCAAAAAATAATAGAATTACTTTTATCTTAAAGCTTCCAAAATACATTGAATGTAACTGCATATTATTGGTTTTATATATGCGTTTAACTTTGGTAGTGATTTTGTAGGCAGTAGTGATCCTTATCATCTGGGTGATATCTCTACTTGTGGTATACATGATCTTCCTAATGTTATTGGATCCATTCCTTAATAAACGAAGAGCTCACTATGAAGAACATCACAATGAAGTGTGTGTGGTATGTAAACTTGCACTTTAAGATATAAGTTGCAAATGTAATTTTTTCTTTTTTCATCTACTGTAAAAAAAAGTATTTATCACCCATTAAGTGTTTCATATAGTGCAGTAGTTCAGATGACCACTGACTTCATTTTGAAAAATACTGTAGAAATTTTGGATTATAACCAGCTTTTAAGTGTTCTGTATTATAGGCCATGTAATTGTAGATGTTATTTGTTAAAGTATTGAAGAAAGATGTGATTTTCTTTAACTGTTAAATATAACCGTTCCTGGGGCATGTAAAAGTCGTGTAACCTCGTGTGATTTACAAGTTACCACATTGTAGCTTTATGAAAATTGAAATCTGCTTTAACAAAGTATTTCCTACTAAAGTTCTTTTGAAAGTTGCTGTACTTAACTAATTCACGCCATAAAAAAAGGTTTTAGTTTTCAATTTTGTGTGAGCTATATATATTATCTGGAATGCCCAGAAAAATGTGCTAATAAATGTGTAGTATTAGATTAAAATACTTACATGATCAGTGTTTTAAAATACATAACTTAAAATTTTTATTCTTAGACTGTTGCTGGTCTCACAAGCAGATACTACATGTTTCAATGTATTAACATCATCCTTAGATGTGTAAAATACAAGATGCAGTTACAAGCCACTTATATCTTTATAATTGATCATGTGATCCTTATTTCTAAATCATTTACATACAACATAACAAAAAAGGTCACAACATAGCCAAAAGAAAGTCAAACCATTTGTAGACCACTTGTTCTGATAACCCTTTATCCTTATTATGTTGGAATTTCTAACGTAACAATATAAGTTTTGTCCCTGACAAAAACAAACAAACAAACTTGTGTGCTATAAATTTAGCTACATTATAAGAAGATATTCCTATGTTTGACAATGGTTCTGTAAGAATCTATTTTTGTACCTTTGGCAATGCTTAAAATCTTGGAGTGATAAAACTACTAGGAATTAAGTATTATTTTTTTTAACTTGAGGTGTTACTTATAGTCTTTAACTTTTTTCATTCATGTAATTTATTACAATGGTTGTTCTTGATATTTTCATTGATACCTTAATTTAATAACTCTTCATCTTTCTTATTATAATCACATTTTGTATCACAAATTACCCTACCTTGTCAATTTTACAAGTAACAAAATGCACCTTCTTTAATGATTTTAAAAACCTGTGTCTACATTTTTCTTTATATTAACTTTCAAATTACCTCTGAACTCTCTAACTTCAGTTCTAATTATATCAGCCTTACTAATAACTTTAACTTTGCTTAAACAGGTTTCAACTTGTGTAATAAACTCTTCCTTTTGACAATTAGCAAGCAAAACACATCCCTTTATCTATTTGTCATTTAACATATTTGAGTAGTTCATGACCTTATTAATTTTTACAAAATTTACTTAAGGTTCAAGTAGCAGATTTGACTTGGTTTCACTTCCTTTCATTGTCTCTGTTGAACAAACAACTGAACTTCTCCTCTGAGTTCAATTTGTATTTATCTAAGTCTCTTTGAATATGAATCCAAATAGTTTTCCCAGTCGTTTCATTGTTCTTTATTCTATTTAGTCACTGATAGGTAAATATGGTAAACTCTTATTTTCTTGCTTTGCTGTAACACTTCTTTTTTGATAAATCAAAATTATGAAAATCCATTGTTCAACCCTCGGTAAACAGTAAGTAGTCAGTACAGTTTCTTTTGATGTTGCGTTTTACTAGGAAATTTAATTGAAGTAATTGTTCCTTCATTTTTCAGTTTTGCAAATATCCTTGACAAAAATCCCATTACTGGATTCATAAGGTTACAATTCATGTGAAACTTGTGTAAAACCTTAATTGAAATACTCACACAATCATCTTTTTAAAATACACAATTTAAAATCTTTATTCTAAGGTCATGAACAGTCTCAATAAACAGATAACCTACATGTTTTGATGCATCAACATCATTTTCATGAATGTAGAATACAAGGTATGGTTACAAACCATATATACCTTTAGAATTGGTCATGAGACCCATAGTACTACATCTTTCACATACAACATAATTAATAAAGGTCACACTATCTCTTTCTGACCTACCAAACCTTCGTAATTATTTTATTTTTTAATAATTCTGTAGATTTTATAATATTTCTAGCAGTCATATCATTTGGTTGAGTCAAAAATAAGTCTTCTCCCACAAAATACTGTGAATGGTAAGACTTGGCCAGTGAAGAATTTCCAGTTTTATTATTTTAAACATTTAAGCTTATGTTCATTTATTGTAAATTTTATATTTCTTTTAGTTTTATTGATGTATAGACAAGCATGTTCATATTCCATTTTGTAAATGCATGTTTTGTCCGTTATTTACATTATTACATATTTAGCTCTATTTCATATTTGTCTAATCTTATTCTTGTGTTTATAAATTGCAATAAAATATTGTTTTTGCTTTTTAAATTTCTGATAGCTTTGACATGATAAATCTGAAACATAGGGCAAAAAAAACATTTTTGTTTTCACAACAACCACGGTGAAAAAACTCTTATCTATTGTCTGTTTAGAGCATACTTTTAAGGACCTATAAACACACTAGTTCATATGACATGTTTCTTAGAGTGGCAGTATGATAACAGAAAATTGGTTTGTGACAAACAATAATAAATCCAAAATGTACATAAAGATTTTTGAAATAATGTATATAATTTGTATGAAGTTTTGGTTTATATTTAGTGGAATAGATAGTTTTATGGATTAAAAGTTGTTGTATTAATTGTGAATTTTTTTTTTATAATTTTTGTTTGCTTAGCTAGTTCTTTCAGCTAGTATTGTATTGTTAATATGAAGATGAATAATGTAACAGGTTTCTGTACAACTTTTTAAAGTATTTTATATATCTTTATAAATTAGTTGACCATGTATTTTTGAACTTGTAAAAATATAATTCCAAGTTACATTTGTCATATTGTGTGTGAATCACATGGATTTTCCAAACCTCAGGACTTTAAAACTATATAAACAGCACTTGTGGAATATATATACAGGTCTCAGAGGTTTTACGTTTTCTTGCAGGATGACCCAATTACAATGCCCCTGCAGTCTCCCACTCCCACTACTACTGTGTTGAACAGAGTTGGGCAACAACAAGACAAGTGGAAACGTAGTGTTCAGGAACAACGAAGACACATTTATGATCAACATACCATGCTAAACTGATGTATAAGTTTTAAGCATGATGTATTAAGTATTGAAATACATTCCTGAACTGTAGATTGTAAATTTTATCACAATCTTTTTAAGTATGAAAAATACACGTACATTAATAGTGTGTAGTCTGAAATCCTATTTGAACAACTAAGTTCATGAGCAGTGAAATATGAGATACTAGAAGAGGTCAAAATATTATATTAAACCTAATATTATCCAGAAATGATCACAACTTAACTGAAATTTCCATTATTTCTTATTTCTTCACTGTAAATAAACCAAAAAAAACCCCATCAGATCTGAATTTGTAAACATAAGTTAATTGTGTCTTTTAAGTAAACTTGCTCATGTAATGTGTTTTTGAAGACTTGTTTATATGAGGTAAAACATGTTATCAAGTTGTTTTCTGATTGATTTTCGTTAGAAGAGTAAAATAAATCTCCTTCTATATGTAACTATGTTTGAATACAAAATATATTAAGTGTTGTACTGCACAAATAATTCAGTATACTTTGTACATCTAATGTTAAAGTACTTGGGTAGAAACATCAAAGTATACTTGGTTTATAATTTAATTTCAAATGATGCCTAATTTGTAGTTCTTTCTACCACATTCCACATATTGTAATTGGAGAGGCCCCTGATGTATCAACTCATAGTCTTCTTCAAGTGCTGAATCTTCCAATAGTCACTCATTAAATGAAATGCACTTTCACTAAAAATAAATACTCAGAGTTTTTCCAGCTAAAGGCCTTTTAAGTTGGAAACGTTGAAAATTTTGTGAGAGAAGTATTTGCTATCCCATTTTAATTTGGTTACCCCCAGAAGTTAAGATATCTAGAACTGAACTGTCCATGTACTTCATGGCAATTTATTAATGAATAAGACTACTATAATTTAAGGTAATACCTAAACAGGCTATTCTAACCCTACATACCTTTGGAAAGTTTACAAAAACAAAGTTCTTAGTACACTTTTGATTTTTTATTTAAATCTTAACAGTTTATACAATGTTTTAAGAAAAGCTAAGTGGCCAAAAATACAGTTACTGTACATTTGTATGGGAGAGTTCTGATTTGAAACAAGTGTTCTCAAGTTTTCCATTTCTAGTCCGTTACGCATATGATGAATGTGTGAGAGAATAAAAAAATTTTGTGAAAGAACATGATATTCCAACTTCAGTTCCTAAGACTGATAGCAATTGAACAACGATTTAGGTCTCCCTAAGTACATAAAAAAAAATCTATAAAGATAACGTGCCTTTTTTCTAATTCTTTAATAATATATATAGTATTACATTATTTAGGTCAAATTATTTATTTAACTAACTGTATTATTTTGTGTACTATGATGCAGTTATAAATCAATTATCTAAAGAACCCAAATGTTTTTCAGTACTTAAATGAATTGTTCTTAACATTTGAATACTGTAAAAAGTTAGATATTAATTTTGTTTTCTTATGCATATTTTTTTTAGTGTAACATACTCGTAGTTCTTGCAGTAATTTAATTAATAAAATATACAAATACTTTATCATTAAAAATTATTTTATTATTATTCACTTACTTGCATTTGGTGTTATGAAGAAAGTAGTGATATTTGAAAGGAAAATTTTATTTTGCAATTAGTTGCTGTGCAACAAACCACAAAAATTGTTGATAGTTCAATTTATTGTTTCATGAACTTAACGAGTTTACATGTACTTAGTGACATTATCAGACTTGCATGGTTCATCTGTAAAATAATAAAAATTATTGTTATTATTTAGCTCTAAAACAAATTGGTGGTGTTATGCATATTAGCAGTTTTACATTATATTAAGAATTTCAAACATAAGTGTTTTTTTGTCCCAAATGTAGTTTATCATTTTTTAAAACCTTCTTGGAGAAATTTTGTATAACACTAAGGTAATGCAAGTTTTTCATGTAAACAACCAAGAGAGAGAGAGAATCCCTGTTTTTAACAACAAGTGTGTACTAAGTTATAATGATGTGAAATACATCTTTATGATTCTGTAAGCTGTTGCAATGCGTTAACAAATAACAGATAGGTTTAAGCACTTTTGTATTATTGTGTTTTCGTATTGCTATGTATGATATAAGGGAAAAATATATACACACACAGATATAAACACTAATTTTTTCTCTAATATTTTAGTGGAATAAAAACACCTGTTTCAGACGTGCTTCATACTAGGTAGTAGAAAAACTTCTCAAAATTGTTTTAGGTAATTATGAACTTTTTTATTACAAATGAAAACATATTACAAATTTCAGATTCCAAAATGTCTCAAGTTATATCTAGGAGACTCAGGTTGTGAATTATTGGTCAGTAATTTATCATAGTAGAAACTCATCTGTACAAGTAATGTCACAATATTTTGTACTTAACTGGTCTAATCATTGCCATTATAAACACTTATACTATCTAAATTTTTCTTTAAATGACCAGTTTGTGTGATAACTGGTTGTAATTATGATCATTGGAACATTTAAAGGAGGCAAATGTCTAATACTTACTGATCATCCTAGCACTAAAAAGCGTCAAGATGCCCCAAAATGTACCAGAGAGTATTTAAATCCATCTATTATAGGGCTTGGACCCATGATCAGCAAGAACGTTTTTTTGCAGTTCTCATCCCTCATATCTACATATACTTAATGAAAGAAATTTGTTTCAAACTCCAAATGGATATGCAATGATGCATAACCTGTATGTGTATTTATGGGACCAAAACTGATAAACCTACTCATTCTCTGTGTGGTTGTCAGTGTTGCGTATCAGATACACAATGCCATCCGTTTCTGGTCTACAAACTGGATATATGCTTTACATGAACATGAATATGTATTTTCTACACTTGCCTCTGACAGGGTTCATAGGAATCATGGAATTGCTGATAAGTTGAGGAAGAATAAACTGTTTTCTGTATGTTGAAAATAGGGGATTGTCACGAGTCCTAGCTTTGGTCATGGAATGTCATAGAAAGTCGAATAGAGGGTGATCTTACTACAGAAGTTGTACGAAATATAATTATAGTAGACTTCCAGTTCCTCCTGCATATAATACCTTTGACCTTGAAGATATTTTTCCCCAAATAGTCCTGTTGTGATATTTCCCAAAATGAAATCAAAATATTGAGCATTTATTGGTTTTCCACTGTAATGCTGCCATGGTTACATATAAACAATGTTTTCCATTGGTTATCACGATATTGCCTTCAACAAATCAAAAATATTTTTTACACTGATCGGATTTATGTACATAATATGCCTGAAGAGTGCCAGTTTAGTGAAGTTTAGCTGAGTGTTGAAAGGTACAACTCATGGGTGATCTGAGTAGACAGCAAATGCAAAGTGTGCTTTGTGTGACAACTGTCCATACAGAAGAGAGAAAATGAATCATCAGTGTTTTAAGACAGGGTGAATATTATGGATTACTCAGAATTCTCTGATTCTGGGTTGTGTTCATAATTCTGTGAATATCCAAAAGTAATTTCAACTTCCTGAATGATTTTATTTAATATTATTAATTGATCTGTTAATTAGAATGCATTAATTAGTAGTATAACATTTTCAGTTTTGTTGTGTTCTTTTCTCGTGTATTTTGCTTTAGCTGATTCAGTGTTTGAATAGCTCAAATCCTCACTCAAAGTTGTTTAAGTCATGAAATATGTCCATTGATGTATAAAATTGTCATGGAAGGTTTGATAATAGGTATTGAAAAAAGTCATAGAATCCTTCATTCTTTGAAGTGTATGAACCCTGCTATGGCCTGAAGGTGAATAAAAACATTTTACACCTGTTTCTGGTCCAAAAATGGTTACCGGTATTCATTACCCATCTTTAGCTTAAAAGTATATATACATATTTCCTTATCTTTCTGTTTTTTAAAAGGATACTCCCACTCCAAACATGTTTAAAAATAAGAATACATATATTGTCATCATGTCTGTTTTAATAAAGATATGCATATACTCTTATGACCTTTGTTTTTAAGAAAGGGTACATGTACTCTCTAGACCTGTCTGTTTAAAAAAGAATACACATACTATGTAGACGTGTATTTATTTTTAAAAAGGATTTGTATAATCTGTGAACTTGTTTGTTTTTGAAGTGGATGTACATAGTACACCTTCTAACTTTAAAAGTATATGTATGTGTCATATTATACACACAAACTTTGACCAGTGTTATATACTGTGAAAAATTTGAAAACTTATCTAGCAGATGAGGGGTTAGAAAGTGCATGATATATCCACACACATCACACACACCTTCTCTTCCATTTATTTCCAGGCCAACTCAATTGTCTCTATCTTTGAAAATTCAATCAGTTTAACTTAAAGCAAGTTGCTCTTATCCCATAAAAGCTCTTACCCAATAATAAATAATAATAACACAGGAAAAATCTTTGCAGAAAATCAAAAGATTTACAATGAACTGAAAACAACAAAATAAAACCCTTAATCATTGATATTACATTAACAAACCCTTTAACAATGATACATATAATGAAGCTAATCCTTTTAACAAGGAACATGTAAGTAAAAATACAACTTCAGAGCAATTCATTAAAGTATCTGCATATTTACTCTAACTAAAAATCCAATAAGCAAAACAATTCTCAATACATACATACAATTATAATTAAAACAAGAGCTGATTATCTATGGAAACCCTGGCAGCCAGTTCTCTACAGAGCAGTGATTTTTTTTATGATTATCTTCTTCATGATAATAGAGCACCCAAGTCTCTATCCACCTGGCTGCATGAGATGCTTTGATATTTTGATAGTGGGGTGGAGGGCAGTTCTACCTTCTCTTGCAGTAAAGTCCTTGACTGTGACTAGCTAGTTTACCATTGTACAGCCATCAAGGTAGAATCACACTCATTGATGGTAGTAGTCACAGGTGTAGAGAACTGTATCACTGAAGACCTTGTACTGATGGACAGACTCCCCTGTTGCTTAGATGCCTTCCACCTCTTAGATAACTTTAGCTCTAGGAAAGGCTTTTCATGGATGGGAGATATGGAGGTGGAAACACAGGAGATGTCTCTTGGACTTCTCCATGCCACAACTTGCAGGGATACTTGTAGATTGGCTCATAGTTGTTTGGTGTTGCTTGGACCTTTGTATTCACTACTGACAATAGTCTTACTGATTGGATGATGGGGAAGTTAATAACTAGTTGACCAGTTGTTGCCAATTTATCCAATTTAGTTAGCCATTCTCTTTGGTGATCCTTTGGCAGTTGGTGGTATTCTCCAGATTTTTGCCGGTGACTATGAAAACTTAAGAGCAAACCTGATGGCAGCCTCAGTTATAGATCTCCTTGCTGATGCATTGTTCTGGAATGCAATTTCATCCATGAGGTCTGCTGAGCTGGCCATGGGCATTTTAGGTGCCAATTAGATTTGAGCAGATTCTCAAAGATAAGCTTTGGTGTGTCAACTCTCCATTGTTCTGCTCTACTTCTGGATTTAGGCAGTACAAATAGAATGTATTGCAATTGGCTAGTTGTAAGCAATATGAATAGAACTGTTAATAATTTGATCTTAAATAAAAATTTTGAAATATATTGAAAACGTGAAGACAAATTAATTCTGTTTGGTCAGAAAAGTTTAGATTAAGGTTGTAACGACCTTGTTATAACACCACTCATTGTTCTTTAGGAGTAGAGTGCTTGCTAAAACTTTTGCTGTGGTCAAATGACATTTCTATGGGCTTACATGTACTCATTTATATTACCTGTAGACAATGCATCTGTAACACCTGTGGATGTTCTGGTCCACTAAGGCTTCATCTGGTCGAATGCATGGCAGCAATTTAGCTGTGTTTCCACAGTCATCATTGCTATGACAATGGCTCAAAACTATTCTAGGGCCCAGCCACATTCTTTCCACTACTGTATGGTTCTCATACAGAACAGACCCCAGCTTCAGTAGGAAAGAAACGAAGGTGAAACTATTAGGTCGTCAAGAAATTAATGTCGCTTTTATTAGATGAAAAAACCCTAACAATTTATGTATCAAAACTAAACATTTAGTAAATGAAATAGTCTCCATTCTTATCGATGATGCTTTTTCATCTTATAATAAGGTTGTTAATGCCCTGATTAAAGAAATCACTTGGCATTGAAGCAAAAAACATGTTGATGTCCTCTTTAACACTTTCCACATTTGCATACGTTTTCCCGTTAAGATGGTGTTGCAGCGAACAAAAGAGATGGTAATCTGATGGTGTCGTATCTGGAGAATATGATGGGTGGAGGAGAACTTCCCAACCCAACTCCATAATCTTATATTGCATCAAACGTGCATTGTCGTGGAGAACACCACCTTTCCGATTGACGAGTGAAGGGCTTGATATAAACGTTCCAGTTGTTGACTGTATATCTCTGCATTGACAGTTCGCTATGGATTGAGGAATTTGAATTGAATTACTCCTTTGATGACCCGACCAAATGCAAAGCATCACTTTCTGTAGATGGAGTCCAGGTTTTGGGGTCGGAAGTGGTTTTTGTGTAGAACTGAGCCATTGTTTTTGACATTTAATATTCGCAAAGATAATCAATTTTTCATCACCGGTGACAATTCTGTCCAAAAATGGTTCGTGCACATTACGCACTATAAGAGACGAAGCATCCTCTAAATCGGTAAATGTTATTCTTTCCGCTGTAAAATTATCAAAGTCTATGGACTTGCAACGCTATAAGCCGGGATTCGATTCCCTGTGGTGGACACGGCAGATTGCTCATTGTGGCTTTGCTATAAAACACCTCTATATTTTTAACAATTTCAGAGAGACACGAATGGCCTGGTTTGTAATATTCTCGTGAATGTCTGGAATTGATATACATAAAAGAGGGCGTATATTTACTTTAAAATATGTGTATATTTTGACACAAATTTTATTATTTTTTATTATAAATTGTAGTCCTTTTTTAAATTCAACAGTTAAAGTCATAGTTCAAGAATCTTGTTGAGTTATTGCGCTCTTTTACTTTCGAGAATAATCAAACAAAATTGTTTTTTTTTATAACTTTTATAAGTTTCAATTGAA